CCACCTGTTAAGCCAGCCGGTGCCAGGGCCTTTTCCCATCGCCGAATTTTCAAAAAAGGCCCTGGGAACGAGGTTGCGCAAAGAAACCTAGGGTTAAAATTTAACCCTAGGGTAAGCAAATTTAACCCTAGGTTAGCGTTAACCGGCTTTTGAACAACTACAGTAAGTAACAGTAAGTATTTAGCTAGCTACGGCAACTGTTCAAGCTATGATAATAACATGCACTAGCTGAAAAGAAATTGAACAAATCAATGCATGCTAACGACTTTATAAGCATAGCTCGAGCAGTTGCCATGTAGCTAGCTGTGCTGAAATTTTCAATAACAGCAAGATATTAGAGACGCTAAACTACGAACACAGTTACACTTCAAGCACTGATAAAGATCTAACTGTTCGCGGGTTTTCAGGATTATAAGTAATGTCACCTAAGGTAAAATAAAGCTTCCAACGTAAGTGGCCTTTCTGTATGGATCTTTATTATACGCTTCAGACTTCGGACTTCAGACTTCAGACTTCGGACTTCAACCTTCTGACTTCTTCAGACTTTGGACTTCAGACTTCAAACATTGGTTCCGAGCTTCGCTAATAGCCAATATTGCTTTTGCGTTCCTCTCAGAATCACTTTGTTTTTGCTTTATTCTCTAGTTTATATACAGTTAGCTACCTTTTTAAATGCATCTGCCGGTTGAGAAACATAAAATAATAGTTAAAAATTGTCAATTAAAATACAATTATCAATGATGCTTTAAAATTGACGCCATATTTAAGCCGAGCCATATAAGCAAAACTTACTGAATTTCAGACATAATTTTCTCTTTGGCGTATCATCCAAAATCTCTTCAATTTAGCATTATTTTACAGATAAAGCACTAAACATACTTTTTAAGTTTGTTTGCCGATTGAGAAACGTATCGAAAAATAAAAATTTTGAATTTAGTCATAACCTCAAGTGGTGTATTATACGCATTAGTTTTGAGCGCGTGCATGTTACGTAACATACTTAACTTGATAAATGTACAGAATAAAGTTAATAAATGTACTGCAGTAATAAATTTACGTGGTATTTCCACAAAGAATAGTATTATATGTTTTATCGTCCTGCGTTTAAACCTACAAAGAACTCACTGACACATTCCAACAGTCTGCATTTACAGTCTAAATCATTCTGACCATTTTTGACTTTAGTTTGAATACCTTTGATTGAATAAGAGCCTTAAATATTAGCCAGCCTCGCAGAAACAATGTTGGCTATTAGCGAAGCTCGGAACCAATGTTTGAAGTCTGAAGTCTGAAGTCCCTTCACGGCTTCCGTATAGAAAAGCTAGGATGTTATTACTGCACTCCCTAACATTAATATTATAAACATTAAAACTTTAACTGGGTTTTTTTCAATTTCGAACCCAGAGAAGGTAAGCAGGAGAGAGGTGGATGGGTGGGAAAATCTTTTGATAATTTTACTCTGTCGACAGCTCAGAGTAAATTACGTTATTTTGCATGAACTTATGTTGTGCATGTTATGTGCCAATTAGGATGGGCTGTGTTAGTATAGGTAATAGCATGGTTTCGAGTGCAATTTGGATATAATATGCATAAGTGAGCTTTTCAAAGACCTCAAAGTAGCACGAGTCCGAAGGACGAGTGCTATTTGAGGTCTTTGAAAAACTCACGAGTTCCTGTTTATCCAAATTTCACGAGAAACCATGGTATTACTTGTTAATAATTTACATAAAATATAAAAATGTTCGAGACAATTTAATTTTTTATTTATACGCGTTTATAGCGAACATTGCACCGGGAAACTTTTCCTGGTTTTGTTATATGACATTATACAATGCTAACAGCTTGAAAATTCCACTCAACTATGTAATTTTTGTTAGTCTTGTTTAAGGTAAGTGCTTTTCCATTTAAAAATAAAGATAAAATCCATATTTTCCACGAGAAGACAACTTTTACTTTCCTGTAGCGCGGCGGCATGTTTGTTTTGTTTTGAAGCAATCTGTGACCGTTACTTCTTTAAACTAAATTGCTTTAAACTGATTGGTTGATTTAATCATCACAATGTTTTTCCACCAATCAGATCAGTTTGTTACAGATTTTTGCAATGTGATTACAGAAAATTGCACTGTGATTACAGATAATTGCACTGCTATTTGGGTTTAAATGCACTGAAATCAACCAATCACAGTCGAGTAATATCTTTATGTATATAATAATAATAATAATGGAAACTTTATTGAAATTATATACGTATATATACAATTATAAATCTCACTAATTTAGGTAATTTATAATTGACTACTTGAACCTACTTAATATTTATATATTAATAATGAGTATCCTTAAATGTTCAGTAATTCCGGATTTAACCAGCCCTTATCTCTGCAACAAAATATATAATATGTTGTCCTAATCGCGATAGACATAATTTTCCTGATAGCGAAATATTGGTGTCTTTTATCAAGACCTAGATCATTTAACATATCTAAAAAGGAATGACATTCTTTTGAGAAAACGCCTAAATAACTAATTGACAAATTTACAAATTTTACGGACTTAAATTGTTTCTTTTGCTGTGTAATGAGATCTTCGTATCTTCTTCTTTTCCGATCAACATTTGTTTGTAGATTAGACTCATAACCAACAGAAAGTTCAAGGATATAGAGACAATCCGAGTTGATAGATAGAAGTAGGTCTGGGCGGAATGTGTCACCAGTTACAATTGATGGTCTTTTATAACCAGGAAGATCGACGAAAAGATTGGAGTTGTTTACAGGTTGTAGCGTTTGTGCTATGAAGTTCAGAACAGAATCATGTCTCCATGTAAATCGTGGGAGGTACGTTTGACATCCAACAACTACGTGTAAAAGGGTTTCAGGGTTTAAGCAGAAGGAGCAATCAGAGTTGGACAATATTCCCCATTTAGTAAGGTTTTTACGAGTTGGAAGTGAGTTATTAATGTAACGAATGGTGAAGTTATAAATGTTCTTTGGGAGGTTTGATTGGGATTTAGACCATATGCCGTTTAATTTCGACAGTGGAAACTTAATGACATTTGAGAAGAAGGAGCCTTGCAAAATCAGATGATTCTGCAGTTTGTCTTCTTGTCCGGAGGTAAAAGGTTTAAGGACTTCCTTTGTCGAGGTGTAGACGTCGTACTAAATGTTTTTGCTCTCAGATGTTGTTTTCCAGAGGTCTTTTATGGAATGATTTGGGGAGGTCTTTAAGGCGTTACGAGCAACTGTTAGGCACTGAACAAACTTAATTGACGGCGGTTAGATATTTAGACCAAACTTGTTACTGGTAAGGTAGACGTTAGATAGAGTTCCTGATATAGGTATTTCAAGCCATTTACGTACGTACTTGTTCACCACAGAATCCATATTTTCAGAGACCCAGGTTTTCGATAAGGTGGTTACAGTGAAATGCCAGGAAAGTTTGGATAGGAGGTAACGACTATAAAGCAAAAGTTTATTTTGGGGGTGCAAAGGTTTGAGATCAATTTCAGACATAATGTCGTCCATGAGAGTGGTTAGCTCTTGTTTGTGTTCTTTTTCGGACATACTGAAGTCAAAATATTTCCCCAAGTATCGAAACGACTCTCCAATTTTAGTGGCAGGTATCAATTCATTGTTAATCAGAAGTAATAATAATAATAATAATAATAATAATAATAATAATGATAATAATAATAATAATAATAGTAATAATAATAGTAATAATAATAATAATAATAATAATACGAATTATTTATATAGCGCCAATTCCCTAAAGTCCATTAGCGCTTTACAATGTATAAAACCTACTAATAACACAGAACTAAGAGGAAATTTAAATCTTACATGGTAACTAATTAAAAACTATGCTAAAAAGATGTGTTTTAAGAAGTTTCTTAAAAATGGAATTTTTATGACAGTTCCGTATTTTGTCTGGTAATGCATTCCACAATGTTGGAGCTGAAACAGAGAACGCTCTAAAACCATATATACGTAGATTAAAATTACTTGTATCAACAAGGTTCATTGAGGATGATCTTAACGTTCTTTTTGGTTCATATGGTTTTCTTTTAACTAATTCTTTTAAATACAATGGTGCCATGTCATGCAAACACTTGAAAGTTAAGAGAATAAGTTTAAAATTGATTCGTTGTTCCACAGGCAACCAATGCAATTCCCTCAAAATTGGTGAGATATGCTCATATAGTTTAGACAAGTTTACCAATCTAGCCGCTGAATTTTGAACAATTTGAAGTTTTTGGATCAGCCGCTTAGGTAGTCCATAGTAAGAATAGTTACCATAATCAAGCCGTGATGTTATAAATGCATGAACTAGAGTTGTAGCAGCTGACTTCGACAAGTATTTCCTTATCCTTCTAATGTTTCGTAGATGATAGAATCCTGACTTGCATACTTCTGTAATATGTTGCTCCATGGACATACCAAAATCGAAAAGCATACCAATATTTCGAACACAGTTCGACGGTGTGACTACTTCACTACACACCGAAACCGAAAAAATAGGTGGTTGAGGAAGGTGTCGAGCACTGAGAACTAACAGCTCAGTTTTGTCTCTGTTCATTTTTAACATAATTATTTGACGTCATCCATGCATCAATGTCAGAGACACATGCTTCAATCTTAGATTTTGCTCGATCAAGTTGACCATCCACCGACGGTTTAAAAACTATATATAATTGCATGGGTGTCATCCGCATGCAGATGAAAGTCAATACCATGTTGTCGAATGATGTCAGCCAGAGAGGACGTATAAAGCACAAACAACATGGGTCCCAAAACTGACCCCTGCGTAACGCCTTATTTCAAGTCATAACAATTTGAGGTTTGTCCTTCCACCTTAACAAACTGTGTACGATCAGATAGATATAATAAAAAACATTCCAAGACTTTGCCTTTGATACCAAACCTTTTTTCCAATCGGGAAAGTAATATTTGACGATCAACCGTGTCAAAGGCACCCGACAAATCCAATAATAAAAGTATTACCGATGACCGATTGTCTAATGCCAGGAGAATTTCCTTTTGAACTTTAACTGAAGCAGTTTCAGTGCTATGATACTTTTTATAGGCTGATTGATACACTTTATACAAGTTATTATCCCTAATATAAGTATCAACTTGGGACGCAACAACTTTTTCAACAGCCTTTGACAAAAATTTCAAATTGGAAATTGGTCGAAAGCTTAAAAATTCTTCATGATCCAGGGACGGTTTCTTCATAGCTGGTAGCAGAAGTGCCATTGTGTTATGATTGGTCAAAGCACAGAAAAGAGTCGTACGAGGTTTTCAATTGGTTCACAATTAATAACTTTCACTGTTGTTCATGTGAATGTGTGCTAGCTGGCAGAAGGTGATCTTTGACCTATCTGTCAAGATCTTTGGCCTAACTGTTAGAATTAGGTTGATATAAACCATATCTTCCTCCTCATCTTACCTTCACATCTTGTCTCATTAACTTAAATTTATATAGGCCATAAATTTGCTTATATACTTCAACTGAAAATATACGTTAAAATAAAATACTGCATGGAACTAAGAATGTATCCTGGAACACAAATAGTTTGAACGATTTCTAGACTTATTTCAGTCACATATGTTTATAAAATTTAATGTTGACATGACAAATACAATTTGTTGCTGCGTGCATGTCAAAAGAACATTTTTGAAGCATGTTATTAGACCGCTACTACTACTAACTCACGTATTGCACTAGTGCAAATATACGGCTTTGACATTTCATATCTTCGGTTCATTCAATGCTATGAAGACAAAAATACCACGTTCGATTCAGTGTAACAATATGTCCTCATTCATAGCGATAGTTTTACTCGATTTCAACATTATAACGATTTATGAGCTTTGAAAGTCAAGCAAGTTCGTATATTATCAAATTACGCAATTGTCTGAATAAAAATATAGACTAGCCATACCTTTCGCCGAACATAACTTCGGCCCCTTCGGACATAACTTCTTTGTAATAGTCTTGTTCCAATCGCTATCAAAAACTCTACTTAGAGCGCCATATACGAGCCTGTATCTTCAAATCTGCACTTTTATGTTTTATCACGGTAACACATCTCTATCAAGCAACAAATGTTGGATTGCTGTTCGTTGTTCATTCTTCAAGACGATGTGATTACCGATTCCAGATAAAGATTAAAGAATTCGACGCTTAATTCTCAATTAATACATTCGTTATTTTTTCGTTAGTGTATGCCATCACTCGATATATCGGTATCAATTACGAAAATAACAATAGTTTATAACACGGCAACAGTGACTTCTAAAATTAGCACTAATTATTCTAATTCTTTACTCCTGTCAATCAAAAATTCAAAACCAACATTCTGACTAATCGGAATGCTCCGTCACCCAGCTGCCGGAGAACTCAGAATGTGTAGTTTTTGGGCAGGCGGTATTTCTAGCTTCCAGTTCTCTCGTGCCCGCGAATACCGCCTGCTACGCAGGCTACTTATTGCGTTGTTGAGTGATACTTTGGACAAAAAGGGTAATATTTAGTGAGAACCCGCTTGGTAACTGGTAAGACTCGTTCAATGGCAAATTCTCGGTCAGCCATAATTTCATCCCAGTGCTGAATTTGTTGATCTGATGTGTTGCCAGCATAAAGCTCGACCACAAATACAAATGTTTCCTCGAGGTGAAATACCAATAAGGGGCTTATTGGTATTTCCCGTCGAGTTATTACGATTCTTATAGAATGGAAAGATTGCACTTTGGGATCGAGGTTCAGATAACATTTCTAAAAAATGATAATTAAAGACTTGCGACACAGATATATTGTACCTAATGGCAATTGGCAAGATCTTTCTCTTTTAACAAGCACATTAAGGTCTTGACAAACTATAAAAATAACTATTCCTGTAGAGAATATAATGTTCGCTTACAACCGCGTTTTTCTTTTCCATCACTGTTTGAATGTATTGCAAAACCTTTATGTCTCAATCTCTCACGTGCTCGACAGAGAAAATTATAAAATGCTCTGAATGTTTCATAGTTTGGAAACATATAGCACATAATTCAAAATTTGCATCGTTGCTTTTAAATCGTTCAACTGTAAATAGACAGCTAAACGTGAGTACACGTACAAGAAACAATAAAACTATACCAAATCAAATACCCATTCACGAACATTTGTTCTATTAATTTTTAGACATTAATGAATGTTGTCTATCTGTGGACAATTGCCATTCCAACGCATATTGCACAAACACTGATGGATCGTTCGTGTGTACTTGTAATAGTGGATATTCGGGAAGTGGAACTGTTTGTCAAGGTAAATTTTTATCTTGTGTTTGTCATTGCAATAAAAAAATCTCGAAAACTTATATGACCAGTCCTTAACCTGAACATGGGGGCGGGGCCAACCCCCATGGACAGTTCTTAGATTTATATATATTATGTGTGACATATATTGAGTATACGGGCCTGAATTTATCATTTTATGGACACTTCATCCAGTACGACAATTTTTTATTCAAATCACTCAACAAGAACTTACAAGCAAAAATATTTTCTGTGCTCCAATAATATCCGTAATACCAACACTGAATTAGATACCCTAGTCTACCAACAATGTTTGTGACTTTTGCACTTGAGTGTGCTTCCTTGTACTTTTAATTGTTCCAGAATAATGTTGTTGAGATCGGTTAGCAACAACAGCATCAACCTGTTTCACAGGGTCTCACCTCCGCCACGCCCCCAAACACCGGCTCCGGCGACACCCTGTTCGGGCATGGTCACGTGACATCCCAGATTTTGGGATATAGCGTAATTTGTCGTTAGGGTGGGTACTTGGAACAGAGTTGTTAAGTACAGTCATTTCTAAAAATAATAGAACTTGTCAATTTAGTTAATGATCGCATTTGGCAGTTTTCGAAGTTCTATATTTGAAATAAAACCAATTACACTACGAAAAAACGTTATATATGGATATGGTTCGCGGCATTTAGACCAGTGATTTAGACTCTTGCTGTCATCTGTTTCTTGCTAAATATATGTGATCACTGATCGCAGTGATATTATTAATACATTGTGATTTTTAAAAACCGTCCTTCGTATATATTAATATAGCACAGATCAAATGTATCAAAATAAAATGGAACATTTTAGTGTATTTGCTAATAAAGCTTATCAACTATGAACTCTCACCTTTACATAAATTGAATATATGCAGTGCTAGCGGTACGCGTTTATATATATATATATGTATATATATATATATATATATATATATATATATATATATATATATATATATATATATATATATATATATATATATATATATATATATATATATATATATATATATATAATCCAGGCATTTTATTAAATTATAATTTTTACAAAATTATACAGTGTTCTCCGGATTGTAATAATTTGTTTTGAGCTTTCGACTCGGTACTTCGAGCCTTCATCAGAAAGATTGATCATTTGAATTTTTGCGCTGTTGTTGACGTTGTTGAAGTCTGTGGGAACGTCTGATTGGTTGATGGATTTCAGTATGTTGGTTGCCATTAGTTACTATCGAATGCGGGTGATTATTGTTATCATGAGACGGTGTAGGGAAGGAAGTTGAGGGTGGGTTAAAGGTTAATGAAGATGAATAAGGAGATTTGTGAGAGCGTTTCAGTTGTAAGTAAATTGTAGGGATGTCAATGTGACGGTTAAATGTTTGTTTGTCTAAACTATGCCACGCTTCTTTAAACTCACGGGCATGTTTAGTAGTTGGTTGTCCTAGGCATCTCGTTTGAGACCAGTCGAATTTGTGTCCGTTGTCGTCTGTGTGTTTAGCTGGAAGTGAGCTATGGTCGTGTCTGTTGATTGCGTTCTGGTGTTCTGTTAGTCTTGTCTGAATCTTTTTAGAAGTTTGTCCAATGTACTTATCCGGACAGTTTTTGCACGGGAAGATATAAATGGCGTTATGTTTATCCGTTATATGTGTCTTGTCTTTGTGTTTAGTGAAGTTGGACCTAAATTTGCATGTTGGTTTGTG